TAGGCCCTGGTGTGGGTTATTGTGACAGCTTTGCGTGCTGGAAGTGTGTCACTATTTGGACTATATGACCACATTTTTCTTTGAGTGCAGTGACTGAGCTGCTGAGTTAACTCAGTATTTTTATGTTGGCTTTTATTTTGTATCAAATTGAAAATTTTGTGAGTTTTTTTAGTACTTATTTGTTTTACTTGAACAATATTGAGAAAAGTTGAATTTCAGGATTGCCTTGAACAGAGCGCCATCCATTCATAATTTATAAAATCTAATTTAATGATTAATTAATTCTTATTTGATAATTCTTCGTAACGCTTTTAATTATCCTAATACTATTCGTTTAGAATTTAGATGAAAGAATTTTTTATGTGTTATATTGTACGTTATACATTTTCAGTACCCGGGTAGCCTAATATTTTTCAAGTATTTATACTTTGAGAGTCTATAACTTGTAATTTTTTTATTCATGTATACTTCTTTTTTGTATCTTTAATTATTTTCAGTTTTCAGGTTTTATTTATTTATCAATTGGTATGCTTAATATCTTTGCTTGCCTCGCTCACTGCAGTTGTACCACGGACGGCTTTAATATCAAAATTAAATATCAATATTGCCTTCTTTTTTTACTAGATATTTAGATATTCCTACACTAGTACTTTTTGCAGTACAGAGTTTATTTTATATTAAAGATGTATTTTCCTACCCATCACCATATCGAAAAAAAAAAATATTTTTTTTTGTTAACACAATTGCTAACAGAATTTTTTATTTTCCTTTTAATTGTTCGTGATGGCATCGACCCCGTCTACGTGGACGCCAATACATTACTTACATCACTCCCTGTCTCATTAATTACCTTCATTATTCAATGTCTTGTCTCATTAATTACTTACATTACTCCCATCATAACTGAATTATACATGCTTGACGCCTCCTATTACCTCTCAGAGCTGCGTGCATCTAATACACCATATTACTTGCTTGAATTCCTACTTTAACTCGCTTGATTTGGTCTCCTTCTTGTCTGCCTTACGCTACTTGGTAAACTTAAACTGAATTACTAAATAAACTTCAACCGAATTACTAACTAAATATCAACTTATTTGCTAAATAAAACATAAACTAAAGTACTATATGAACGTCAAGGCATTGCCTGAAATTCTCCTATTGTCCTACTTCTTTGGATGACCGATGATCGAGAATTCCTTAATCTATTTATAATCTATTTAACATTGAACGCTAAACCCATACTTAAAGCCTTGCATCGTTTTGTCTTGATTTATGTTTTTGCAAATAATTTGCATGTGCATCTATCTAAATAATTTGCATGTGTTTGTTTACTAAGACATCTTGCACTCATCGTTCGCTGCGCTTCGCTTCTCTCTGGAATTACAAACATTGCATTTATTGTCTGGCGTTCCTAATGAATTTATTTTTTTAATGGTATATATTGGGCCAATTGGCATACAATATTGTCTCCTGAACATTTTTAATATGTCCTGTGGCAAAAATCTATATCGGGAAATTTTTCGTTTTCCGATATTTTTATGGGTTCGGATATTTTTTATGGATTTTTTATGAAATTTCTGTGATGTTCTTATTTGATGCTTGCGGTTGCTTCCTTGATGAGGGCTGCTATTATCCTCCATATAAACTGCTTACTGCACGTATTTATCTGGCAAATTATCCTCTCTCTGGTTTATTATATCCTTCTCTTAACTTCCCTCACTGCACCGCTCTAATCTGACATTTACTGTACCGGGTACTGTACTTTAACTGTACTGTACTGTACCTAACACCTTGCACTCTTATGCTAGACCTCTACCAACATCATACTGCATCAATACTGCACCACTCCTTATAATATTATACATGCCTTATTGAGTATATCTTTGCATCGTATCTTTGAGAATTTTTTAAAAATTACGGCGTGTGATTTGTTTTATCAAATCGACGAGACTGCCTATACATAAATATAATTCCATCTGTTTACAACATTACTGACGACTATCGACCAATAAACTGACAACGATAAATTTAATCTGCATGACATGAGTATGTGAACATGACTCTATTTTTATGACAGAAATGTTTTAATGATGGTACAACTTAACCGGATATCTTGTCTCACGAAAGTGCGTCACCGTAATGTTATCTACGTCTTGAATTATTTTAATATTATTCATAATATTCGGAAACGTCCACTGAATGCTGAAATTACGTAAAATCTATTCCTGGTGACTTATTTTTTCTAGAGTTAACATCTAACATGTCGACATAACCTGCTAAGCTTCTTCTGCTCCTCTACATGGATGGACCAAGCGTTCTCTGGCTAACCTTTCAAACCCTAACCTTGTGAACTACCAAATCGCTTACAAATTTCCCCAAACTTCGATGCGTGCTGGAAAAACAACAAACCAAAACTACTTACTTCTCAATGCCCGTGTCTGTGTAGTTCTCTGTGTCTTGTGTGGGGCGATGGTTTGCATACTTGGCTCTATCGGTCATTGCTGGTAATCGTGTTGGTAATGGAAGGAATTGTTATACGGTCTTCACTGCTGGTGTTTTCCTATTTTCACTTAACGATGGAAGTTTCTGCTCAATCTGCTCGGAAGCTCTGCTCTGTCGCGTCTCCAACTCCTTTATGTAACAACATAACACAAAAACTGATATAACGCTATCAATTAATTTAATAACAAAACATCACATGACTTAAAAACTTCAATACCCCATATACTTCTCATCACTTCTATTGTTCTTATTAGTCGCAACACTCATATGTGCCACATTGATTGATTACAGCGCTTTACATTCATTAATCGATACCTTATTTTTTCACGAAATTTCTAAAACAAGACATTATTTGAAAATTGTTGGAAACTGTAGAAGCATCTTTCGACCATCGTTTATTAATCATTCTCAAATTTTGTTACACAATCATTAATATCATTATTGTTATATTGGAAAAAGTTTACGAATTAAATTTGTGTGCGCGGAAATTCGAGAATTGTTCATTATCGCTCACAAACTTGAGAAATGGATGCTTGGTCATCACACTAATGGTTATAACACTCAATCTACCACTCATAACATCATACTACTATTCACTATTCTTTTCCTTTATCTAATTTCTTCACTCTCTCGTCTCACAATTCTTTCATCACCTATCTCTGACTACATTATTTTGAATTCAACCTGTCCCTTCAATTATTCCTCTATGTTATAATTTTTTCCATTATATTCCTGAACTGTTTTTAATGGACACTTCCTCCCTATTTACCCCCAATTTTACCTATTTTACCCATGTTTCTTCCCCTGGTATTATCCCTGTTGTATCTGTGATCTTCCTCAATTTCCTTGTTTACGCTTCCTCAACATTCTTCCGATTTTACTTCGATGTTCTTCGTTATATTCATGTGCTTTATTTTCTTTATGTTCACTATGTTTATGTTGAAAAGGTTTATGTTGAATATGTACGCTTTGATCGCCGCTTTGCAATTTCTCCGTGGGCTTAACATGTCACCTAAACCGAGTAAACTTTAACCCAATTTTTAACTGAAATTTATTGAATATACTTTGAATCGTATACTCGATTGTATTTTCTGCAAGCGTATATACTGTACTCTAATCTATTTGAACTTCTGTCAAATTGCATACTAATATTTTCCTACTTATCTATCGTTATGATACCCGATTGATGTAGTTAATTCTTTCAATCTTCGTGCGTATTTTGAATTTGTATGAAATTTCAATTATCTGTTTTCCATTTGAAAATACTTTGTTGATAATCTTGTAAGACATCGCCTGCGTAATGTCCTATACCTGTAACTACCATTGCAGTTACTGCATTAACGCCCCATTAACTGGTGTCAATACCTAACAGTATATACCTCTTAATTATCTATCAAAATCTCCCACTTATCTATTTAATATATCGCTCTTCATTCTGGAATCGAATAAAGCTCATTATCGAATAAAACCTCAACTATCAATCTGGTTATATCTGTCTTATTTATTTAATAATATTTTGAGGTCACAAACTGACTAATTTATCCATGGTGACTGACCCTCTGAAAACTAAATATATCCATCTTCAAAATAATACATTTTTATGTATATTTTGCCGCGTTTTGTAATGAATTGAAATCTAACTCGTTTTCTTCCTCCAACTCTTTATCTATCGTACGGCCATAAATATTTAAAATATTTGGCTCCCAGTGAACGAATTATTATATTAAACAAACACTTGAACTCAGGCTTCTAATTCCTTTGTTAATAACAAAAATTATCTAACATCCAATTTAAAGAATTTTGAAACAACTCGAAACTTTCTCGACTTGGCTAAATATTCATCGTGGCTAACGGTATTGGCTTTCTGCTTTCCCGTCCAAATTATCGTTGTTCTCTATTTGATGTGCCTATCACCTTCTCTGCATTTCACTGCCTCTCTAGTATTATCTCCCATTGCCTCACAATTTCTTTTTCGTCTTCTAAAAGGTCCCATTTTGGTGTTTATTCTTTGTTATCTGTTATTTGTTAACTGTTTTTTATATGCTCTTCGTACGCTCTTGTGTTTCGAGTGTTTATTGTTTCTAATAACTTCCAATTTGTTATCCACATATTCCATAGCGCCCGAAAAGTCCTGTGATTTTTTCCTTTTGAATTTCGTGTTATTTTCAAAACTCTGTCACCTTTCGCAGGAATTCTGTTTACCTATAATCTATCCTTTGTTTCCATTAACCCTTAAGAATTTCTCTTCTATTTTGGTGTCATCCAACGCTACGCTTCCTTCACTAATACTTCAATCAACCAACATTTCCTCATCACGAACAACACGACTTCTTTCCTCTTCCTCCACACACTCCATATATTCACTTCACCTGGCGAGTGTATCCGACCGATGACCACTACCCCAACATCCACCAATCCTCCAAGTTATGCACCCGCGGGGTATGTCATCCACGGCCCCCACCATCCTGCACTCACTTGCACCGTTGGCGCTACAGGGTGAACTAATGAACAGAATTGAGAACCACGTATTAGAGGCACAGGACTACGTGCTCACTGCCAAGCAGGACACCAAAAAAGCTATCCGCTACCAGAACAAAGCAAGACGGGTGAGTTCCCTTCCTCTAGTTTATTAAGTTCTCTTTAGGTTCTAAGATTCAGGATCTAAGTTCTCCGGTTCTTCTCAGTGCTGAGTTATGTCTAGTACGTGTTCAAATTTTGCTATACTCGCGCGGGAATGGTTCTTGTTGATTCTTTAATTGTTGTCGAATGTCGATGTCAGGCTTTGCTTCGGTCCGTGTGAAGGTAGACTTTAATACACTTATTTAGAGTGGAAAAACCACTTTTATTGATGTTTTTATGGCAATAAGAATTCGATATTTCTATTTTTGAATTGGCTAAAACTGCTAAAAAGCTGTTGAGGTTCTTGCATTCATTTCAATGGATATGGTAATTATCTGTGCATATCGGTCCACCAGTTTTGTCGCAGTTCTTTGCTTGTTTGGCTTTTGGTTTGATGTATGTTAGCTTCAATCGTCTTTTAACTGTATTCCCTTCGCTCATAAAGTCCTAACGAATCATTGAAAAATAATCAATTGCTCACAAACATATCGCGCTGGCCTTGTTTCAAATCGACTAGTTTTCTATCCCTCAGGATATCCATTCTCCTTTTATTACAGAATACAATTCCTAATTTGTTTTTAATATTGATTGCGTTCGATTAAATTTTAAAGTTTCATTCCTTACTTCAAAATAGATGGAATTGTGTGGTTAACCAAGATGAATATTTTTCTGGTGATTCCATCAACTTTTGTGCCAACTTTTACAACGTGATGAACCACTTTTACATGATGAACTCCATTTACATGATAAACCACTTTAACTTTATGAACCACTTATAGTCGATGACCCATTTCTACATGATGAACCACTTCTACATGATGCGGGCTGATGTTTACATCATACTCTCGTTATTTTAGTCGTTGTCAATTAGTCTGGACATCTTCTTTAAATTTTTGCTCGTCCCGATCGCCATTCATGCACGACAAACGAACTCATTCATCCCGAAAGAGCGAGCAAATTTCCCCATTGGAGAGAAGAATCTCGAGGGGTCGATATGTGCACACACTCGCTATTAACTGCCAACGCACAATTGGGTTGCTCCTTTAACTTGGGACTTCTTACCTTCAACGTTCCCAGTTCCGTATTCATGCTTACGTTTTCGAAATTGTTTTACTCGTACTTATTTCCCGCCCTTCCGCTGATCGATCCGCAGCTATTCGCGGGCTGTAGCGAATATTCTTTGCAGTTGACGGCATTTAAATTGCCTTGGCAATCGGTGCATTTTCACTTGAAGCCTCTTGCATCTAGTCGATATTGTATGTTGGACATCGTCTGCCGGTGTGGTTCGTTACCTTGTTTCTATTCTCATAGTTTTCCACACGTTGAAGTTCATGCCGACTTGCACGTAAATGTCAGCTAGTGTACTCCCAACCCCAATATGACATTCGCATGAATCTTATTTAAGCTAGAAAACGAAGAGCTCCCTTGCTTTTGCTTAGATCTGGTCAGTATTCGTGCTGGCATCATATTATTTCTCGTAAATTATTTGTATAACTACGCTGTTGTGATGGTAAATATTCAAGTGTGCTCAAATCTGCACCAGTTCCCCAAGTTGTTTATATTTTCACAATTATTCTAATTATACTTTGAAAATCTGGCTGTGTTTCTCGACTCTTGACAGTCTGAGTGAAGTTCTCATCAAACAATCTATAGATAAATTTTTGTTCTTTTATCCTCGTAATTGGTGCATTGAATGCTCTAGATCTCTAACGGGGACGTCTGCTTACACTTGGAAATCGGACTCTTGATTAGTCGAATTATTTGTTCACGGTTCGATAATAAATGATTTAGGTTGTGGTCAGTCCGGCTGTTTTGAGTTCTGAATTGCTAAAAATGTATTGTGGCCATGTAATTTTAGTTGTAAATATTTTGGTCATGATTATCGCAGTCTCCTGTTTATTGGTGCAACATTTTTTAGTAAGCACATAACTTATATTTTGTTTAGCCTGTATCACACGAATAGCTTATGAATCTTACCTGACATTTTCCGCGATACGTACGAGTAGCTGAAGTAAATTTTATTAATTCATATGAAATAATTTTTTCATTGTATGTAAACAATTAATTTCTGTTTTTGATTTTCTCTCCCACAGAAGAAAATTATGATCGTCGTTTGCGTATCGATTGTGGGCATCATTCTTTTAGCTGTGATAATCCATCAGTTCGCGTGAGGTCTACCAACATAATGCCTGTTGATGCTGTTGAGTTAAATACCTTGTACATATTTGACCAGGCCTTGCCTATCTCAAGGCTTCCATATACTTAAGCCAACCATCGTATCATGCCTGATGGCTCACCATCTTTAGCCATGTTATGGCCACATTGAAGCATTGTTTTCTCTGTGTGAATTGTTATTATGTGTTGGATTTGATGAATCTATTGCTTCTTGTGAAGGCCTGATACGCGAGTCACAATTAACCTTCCTTGTGCATATTTTGGGTCAATGTGCGTGATCGTGAGTTCTCATTATCCTCATCTTGCCAAACCATTTATAGTTTTTGTAGTCGTTATTGTGAAGAAAATATTAAGTAAACATAACTGTTTACTTAATTTTTAGTCGCTCCTGAGATCCGCAAAGATTATCATTTCTGATACAAATTTATCCTATTTGATTGAAACGATTTTTCCTACTAGTTCAGTGTGCAAGTTATCAAGCCACGCCATGTGCTTTATATTATTTAGACTTACAGCGAACACTGCCATTTTATGTCTTTCTCTGTTGCTACTATTTTATGCTGACACTTTCCCCCTCCAAGTTCTGATGTCCCGTGTAGGTTCTCCAGTTCTGATGTCCCGTGCAGGTTTCTAGGTTTCTAAGTTCTGATCTCCCGTGTAGGTTTCTAGGTTTCTAAGTTCTGGTGTCCCGTATAGGTTTCTAAGTTCTGATGTCCCGTGTAGGTTTCTAGGTTTCTAAGTTCTGGTGTCCCGTGTAGGTTCTCCAGTTCTGATGTCCCGTATAGGTTCTCCAGTTCTGACGTCCCGTGTAGGTTTTCCAGTTCTGATGTCCCGTATAGGTTCTCCAGTTCTGATGTCCCGTGTAGGTTTCCAAGTTCTGATGTCCCGTGTAGGTTCTCCAGTTCTGATGTCCCGTGTAGGTTCTCCAGTTCTGATGTCCCGTGTAGATTTTTGTGTTCTGCTCGATGCAGGATTGTTGCTCAGTCCCACCCTTGTTGTTGTATGCTGTGCTAACATGAAGGATATGTCCTAGCATATTGTCTCGGATCGCATAAATCTCCCTAGCCTAACATGGCCTTTAGACTTTAATTATCCTCCTATGATCACTCGATACATATCATTTAGAACCTGTTTTCTTTAGTATGAATTTGAATAGAAAATGCCCAATAATTCATGGCTATTAACATGCGAAGGTTTTCTTGCATCGACGAAGGTTTTCTTGCAAGATTGTGTAATGGTAATTACATTAAAAATCGCTTATCATACATATGTAGTCTTTTTCAAGGAGTCATTCGAAAAGAAATGATGATTTCTTAGCCGTATCATTCTCATGCAGAAAGAATAATTTAGATTGGGTTTGGGTTTGGCAGTCGACAAACTGTATGTCTGTTTGACAATCCGTCTGCATTCATTGTATGGTTAAAAATTTAATGCTAACGAAATGAATTAGGATTTTTTTTGTCGAAAATCGGATAAAGTTGTCTTGTCGTCGTCTCATTTTAAGATCCACTTCGTTTTGGTAGATTAGAGTTTGAGGCTGCTATTCGGCTGGCTGATGTCAGGCTTGTGATGCACTTACGATGTTCGCGTTCGTTAGCATTCGAATCGACGTGATCACATTCGAGGTCGCGAACTGTTTTGCTACTGGAACTTACCCCGTTGTATTATTCGGCAAAGCTATAAAAGACTTGTAATATTTAATTATTTTTATCTATGTACTTGCATATTTGTCAATCGTATGTACTTGGTTGTATTAATAATAATTTTATTTTATGAAAATTTGAGTTTATTTTTCGGAGTACGCTTAATCATCTTTTCCGTTATGTGCCCAAGAAAGTTAATATTCAACGGAAATTAAAGCTTTTCATGTTACTATGATACGGACGGAACCGATCACATTTCCAGTACATTCAGCGTAGGTTTATGAAAGCTAGTATCTATAACTTTTTAAAACTAAATTCGTCTTCTTCACATTTAATTAAGCCCAGTCTTACCCAAAATTTAATTCTGTTAAAGATTAAGATCACGTGAAGTTATATATACAAAAGAGGGAGCAGACTATATAATAGCTATTTCTGCAGTATTGCAGCCGTTCACTTCTTGAATAACATACTTTTGGTCGTTCTTGGTGCAATTAACTTCCAACTTCAGTAATTTCGACTTCGAATTCTATTTGAACTTATAAACTTTACATTTTGGTCGTATATTATGAATTTTCGTAAATATATTTATTTATTTTTTTCTTGGCTATTTTGCTAGAAAATCGCGAGTGAGATTTTCTTTGCAACTTTTTCAAACTGGAAATAAAAAATAAATTTGGTTATTTGGTAAATTCAAATAACTGGAAAACGTGAACTAAGTTCAGGAGCCAGTTCCTTTCCATTTTTTCAATAAGCGAGGACATGGGTCATAATTTTTGTTCTTGTTGACGTGCGGCGAGCGTCATGTGGCATTGTAATCATTCTTTTCATATAGGCTTGATTTTCTTAAAAATTTAGTTGAATTTATGCAGCTGATCTTGTTTATTTGAACTTTGAAGTTCCTGAAGTTCTTTAGGTGTACGTGATCATCGATATAAACTGAATACACTCTGGGGAAAATGATTGGGCAACTTCGTTCAAATAGTGATACTTTATTACTGCACCTGCAGAAAACGAACGTAACACTGCTGCTTCTTTTTGTTGGGCGTAACTGGGTCAGGATGGACAAGAGGTGCTTCGCTATTTGGACAAAGTCTCTTTCATTTCTTTGAGTGTGCAGAGTGGCCGGTCGAGTTTTGGATGAGTGACTTGACGCTTGTCCGGTGCATGCTTTTTTTGTAATTATTATTGTTTTAATTATTTATTTATGAGTGGATCCAATCAGGAATAGATTAAGGATCTTATCATGCCAATCTTTTGAGTTTGTTTCATGAAGGAATTTTAGGAGGATTGCTCTATATCACGCAATGTTGCAACGCATATAACAACTTCAATAATTTGCTTCATACTTGCACTTTTACTTGAAAACGTACTTGTATCTTTACTGTTTTGAGCGATCAGTAATACGTTAGGCGCTACTTCCATTTTCCCCGAAGCTACTGACATGCTATTGTTTTAGTAGGATGGGCGGTCGTTTATCCAGATATTACCTCATGATATTGCCCATACAAATACAGAGATTTTATGTATTACTTTCGTGAAGTTATAAAACGGATCTCAAACCGTGCGGTTTAGTTATTTTTTTAACGCTTCGATGCTAGTTTAGTAAGCACCTTGAGTTAGGCACTCGGTTACTGCTAGGGATTTACAAGTTGATTCGAGCTTATAAGAACCCATCAGCCTATCTTCAATAAATAAATTTTTAAATGGCCATTACAGCAACTGTGAAATGAGCGTTCCTCATCTAATTTCTTATAGTTACCTAATATTTTGCATATTTCTGGATGATATCTAAACCCTGCCTCTATTTATTTGAGAGGTAACACAACATGAAACTTTAACTCGCGTATTCCTATATCCCTTGTCAAGAATCCTGATATTTTTTACCTTAATTTGCTCTTCATATTTACTGTTATATTTCTGTGTGAATATTACTCATACCCTTGCTGTGTGATTTGGCATTTTTTACGTTTGCATGCATCGGATTCTTTCTTCTGTGCACAAATAATGAGTCTGTTGCACTTAATGGTATGTAAATCTTTTGTTTACGTGTTTCATATTTACCTTGCGTTTGTAGGTACCTCCCTTATTTATTATATTTTATATTGTGCGCTCGTTCTTTTTTAATTTTCTTACTCTCATATTCTCCATATCCAATATGACACATCGTTGTTATTTTTCTAATATGGCATCGTTGCTATATCTCTCTCTTGCCTTTTTTTGAAATCTGAAATATAATTTAGCACAATGATGTATCTTTATCTTACAATAGCATATCGGTAATGTCTCAATTGATACGTTTGATATATACTACGGCTACATCGCACAAATATACCAAAGACTTGCCACCATCATGATGATGATGGTGCTTGATTATACACTTGTTTTAGTTAGGTTTTTTTTCTTCGCATCGTCTCTATAAATTGTCTTGCATATCGTAAAAAAGGAACACTTTAAACTAGTGTTTCAAAAAGTGATTCGAGAGCAACGAGCTTTATTTTATTTATTTAGACTCAATTATTCAGGATAAATTGTTCCAAATATCCTTTAATTCATCTTGAGTTTACCCGATGAAGTATAATTATAGTTTACCCTACGACACGAAAATATTGTCGAATTATTAAGAAGTAGCATCTCTCGGCACCAACTGCTCTCTTTTAGAATCCTTCTGCATATTCATTAGCAAAGGATAATCACGCCTTACTGGTCGGATTTCCATATTTTTCTTTGAATTTAATTTCATTTGAATATATCGTCATTTTTGTCAATATTTCAGTGAAGCAATTAAAGTATAGTATCTACCGTCAGAAGTAACGGGAAATTGTATCAAGCTATTTAATCACTTTTACGTAGAAATTATTCTCAATATATTATAAGACTTCCCTGTACAATCATATATTTTTTGTATATGTAAATTTTTGTTTTGCGTAAACTTCGGTTTGTGTTTAGTAAGGATATAAATAAATGTGAAGGAGCCTATTTACATTTTCTTTTCCTTATATTTGATTTTATTATTTAATTATTTACTTTGTTTAATTTGCGCTTTTTAAATTTGATTTATGCGTGGTTTTTACTCCAGATGGCAATTTTTTCAATTATGCAAGTAGATTAAAAGATTTTTATTACTTTTGGGAAACTTCCGAGTATAATTCAGTTTCTTTCGTTCTTGAGATAACATCGATAAATTTTCACTTGTTAATATTTAACATAATTGAAGAAAGTGCATTTGCAAGGTTTGTATTCATTTTCCCTCTTTAGAACTGTACGTTGTAAATAATGTTTTACACCCACTCCTACATTACCCTTGGCAGTATAGAGTATACTTATCACTGAGAAGTTATTTACGTTTACACCTTCTCCCTCCCCCTTTCTCGTACTTGGAGGTATTCCTTCTCTTCCTATAAAACAGTACGTTGTAAATAATGTTTTACACCCACCCTTTATAATCCTTGGCAGTATCGAGTATACTTATCACTGAAAGGTTATTGACGCTTGCACCTTCTCCCTCCCCCTCTCTCGTACTTGAACCCGACAGAAGAAGGTCTTTTGCATAGCCCTTTGCCTGGGGATCTTGGGAGTTATCATCCTTACGCTGATCCTTTACTACGCACTGCGACCATCCTTGTCTGTGCCACTCTCGTCCATCGTGTCTTCCTCGAACCATGGGCAACATGAAGCTAAACCTCATATCTTGTAACCTTGTAATTCACGTTATTGTGAGCTCAGGTAAGAGAAGTATTGGTGCGCAGTGTACAAAAAATTTTCCCTTTTGAGTATACAAAAGATTAAAGAACTTGTGGCCCAAGAACAAACGATGAGTTGCGAGTTTGAACGCGTCATGTTCCAGCTTGACTAAATGGCCCTTGTTGTACCTTGAATTACCCTAGTACCATAACCTTATCAGTTACAGTTATCCATCTATAGTTCTAATAACTAGAAATTTTTTATCTAAATTAGCACCACATGCCGAACTTGGCAGATATTCATTAATTTAGAAACAAATTCAGTCCACACCGATGCATTATGTGTATTATTTCCTTGGAAAAGAACCACGTACACGCAGCCTCCTCGATTCCTTCATATTCAGTTCCTGCTCGTGTATATTTTGTAATTATGTTAATTATCTGTAAATAGGCTGGCCACTCTGCATGTTTTCAGCAGCTGAAATAATTTTTCACATGTATTTACCCGTGAAATAGGGAAAGCTTTTGTAGCTTTGTCGTGATGGCTAAGGTTGAAATAAAGTCGCGTTTGAAACATTTACTTGAAGCGTCAACATGTTGACATGTGCATGCAACATGAAGCATCAACAACATGTTG